ACGTTTTGCATCTGCTCGATCTTTTATAGCCACGGAGTAACATGCTTCTCGGGCTCAGTTTTGTCAAACGTTGCTTGTAATTCACTATAGTGGCCAAAGAAATAGTGAAACGGGAGTGTTCCAGTTTGAGGATTCATGCTGTTATTCATTTGAGTCTGAACCCATTTCAAATGATAAGGCCACATCCCTCAACGTCATCCAGTGCGGTACGCAATAGCTTCTTTAGTTCTCTATGACGTGTCTCATTTGCACCCTGCGTTTGAGATTTATAAGGAACACCACGCCTATGGGTCATGCCTGATACGAGTATAAGTGCCTCCATTACGTCGGTACAAAACTCACTACCGTTTTCAGAACATAGTACTCGTGGGAAACCGAAGTCATTAAAGACGTGATAGCATATCTCTGCCACTGTTTGCGGGCGTTTGTTCGGTATTGCATAAAGCAAGTTATAGCCCGAAGCCACACATAAGAAATGACAGATATATACATCGCCAGTGTGCTTGGATCGTGTGAGTTTATCCAAATCGACTATGATTCGGCGCATCGGTTGGTCTTCTGTCACACTTTTTAGGGGTGCCGAATCGTAGCGCTTGATCTGGTTCTTTTCACAATCAGTACAGCGTCGGTATACTTCACGTAGGGTTTCTTTCAGCGCCGGGTGATCAAGCCCTACACGAATAGACATCTTATAAGTATGCTCTTATGCTCGATGAGTTAAATTATGTATTATTTTAACTCTACTCTCGAGCTCTTCTAAGTCAGTCAGATTCTGTGTAACGCTGGCTGGATGAACCATAGTCCCGTTAGATAGGGCAACTTAAATATCAGGAGGAGTAGACTCCTGAGATACGTGATAAACGACATTAGAATGTTGAAGTATCTTCTTCAGTTGTTTCGCAACTCCTGGCTGTTCTTTAAGCAGCGCTTTAAGTAGTTGAGTGCGAGCTTCAGGTTCTCTTAGAGCTTTGAGTCTTTGATCCATGGCCTTAGCTAGTTCCATGTTTCTACGATCTAATGCCGTCTCAATCGGCATTGCCTCGACTGCATTCTTGTTGGGTGCATGTGTTGTACGAGTCTTGAGCTTTTGTTCAAACTCCTTAGACTCTTCTAGTTTAGCTAAGAACTCGGTTGAGGGTTACTTAGTGGTACCTGCAGGACCGATGCGATAAACGATGGTGTGTTTCCAAGGCGTCTTCTTAATAGAATAGGATCCCCGATACAAGAACGTGTCGGTTTAACGGTCGACATAGATAGGCTCGTCTTGTATCATAATAATTAAATCATGTATCCATGGGTCGGAGCTACTTAAGGGACAACACAGCGTAATGGTAGATTTAGTAATATTAACATAATTTAACAACTGTGCGATAAGTTGCCAAGGTGGGTTAGCCCACGCATTATGCTTTGATAAGTCAAGTTGAAAGGCATCACCTTTAGGATGAGTCAACGACCTATATTCAGAAACCTGTTTGTTATGTTCTGCGGCGAACATATCAAGAGTAAATGGACCCCATCTTGATTGAGCGAGGTTAAACCATTTATTATTAAGCATCCAATCGGTTGCTAATAAATCTTTAACTGTTTTCTGGTAGTCAGGGACAAGTCGCGAGAGCATGTCAGGAAGATGATTATGTATTCCTGGTAACTGTGTAATGTTAAAAGAAAACTCAGCGGCTCACCAACTGTGAATCAGGGTTCATGTCCTTTAAGTATGTTAAAGACTTTTGATCACAGGCGACAGCAAAGTAACTTCCATAAAGGTAGTCTTTAAACTGTCTTAGCGCAGGTAACAATAGCAAGGAGCTCTTGTTTAACGGTAGAGTAATTTCGTTGACTCTTATTATAACTCTTGCTAAATAATTGTATGTAGCGTGGTTTACCATTTATCGTTTAGTATAGCACTCCACCTACCGCTCGATCTGAAGCGTCGGTTGCTACTTGGAGTGGTACGTCATCCACAGGGTATTGCATGATGGGTGCGTCCATTACTTTACTTTTGACTAGCTTAAATGCATCATCACATTCTTTAGTCCAGAGCTTTCCCAAAGGTCCATTGTGCAGCCGTAGGTGACTGAAAGGCTTCAAGTAATGAGAAAGATGAGGGACCGAATCCGAGAAGAAGTTAACAAATCCACACACAGAGTTCACATCTCTTCCAGTAACCTCTGTTGATAAATCCAACAGAAATTATTTCTTGCCAGGATCAATTTCTACCCCTGCTGCAGATACCTTGTAACCAAGTAAGTGTATAGTATCTTTAGCAAAAGAACACTTGTTTTCATTAATCTTAAGTTTGGCATGGTTTAGTCGCTTTAAGACTTCTTTAACGAGTTTAGCATGTTCATGTGCTGTCTTTGTAAAGATAACTATATCATCTAAACATGCTGATACGTTATCCGACAGGTCCGCAAATGGTTCCATCATAACTTGTTGGAAGAAAGAAGGTAACATGTGTAGGCCTTCAGGTGCACCTTTAAACTGGTACTTCTTACCTTTCCAAGCAAAGGAGATTATTTCCTATGCGGCACATATATTTGTAATTGATGGAATGCAGCTTTTAAGTCTACCTTGGAAAAGATAGTCGCACCTTCCATTTTGCGTAGTATCTCGCTTATCTTTGGTAAGGGAAAACTGTGTTGTGAAATTAGTTTGTTAATTGGCGACATGCCTAGTACTCCTCTTGTTTTACTAAATGTTCCATCAGATTTATATTGATCGACCGCTAAGAGAGCTAAGTTAACTGGGATTACCTCATAATTGATTTCAATTAGACCCTGTTTTAACCAATCTTCAATTTGGGGGTTGGCGGCGTCTTTGTGTCTCCAACTCACGTAGTTGTGTGAAGGAAACTTTAACTTAGAGAAGTCGACGTTTGTTAAGTCAAGCTTAACGTACCCGTTAGAGAACTTAAACATACACCAGTCAGTTATTGCAATCTTCCTGTTTTGTATAATTAAGTTCATAATTATATCGGTAAAGTGCGGAATCATATCCTTTGCTTCACCTTCCGGAGGTTTAGGTATCTTTAACATGTTATCATCTGACTGATCTTTATTTGGGTCTAGCCCTTTAGGCAGACCAGTGAGAGTTATACCTAAACTGAGAAGATCAGTTATACCTATAATTAAATCGTATTTCTGAGACATGTCAGTAACGATTAGGTGAGTCTTTACGTCTAAATTACTATATGTTGTATTTAACCAGGTACTTTATATTCATATATATATAGCCAGTACAAATCCGCGCTCGTGAACAGCAACCATAACTTGGTGTCCTTGTGAAAATGCAGCACGTAAGAGTGGAATTTGATCGTCGGTCGCAGCATCTAAAACCCATATGTATATGTATATGTATGTATATATAAATGTGTGTGTGTGTGTGTGTATGCAAGTATGTATGTATGTATGTATGTATGTATGTATATATATATCCTTATAAATGTCATGCAATCCTACTTGAACAATTCGTAGGATATTTGTCATCGTACTATTGTCAGATATGTGACGAATGTCGTAGGCATGTATGCCAACAATGTACCTCACTGTGCCAGTGC